TTTTTTTTTTTTTGAGCAGAGTCTTGCTCTGTCAGCCCGGGCTGGAGTGGCAGGTGGCAGGGATCTCAGCCCACTGGAAAGCTCCGCCTCCCAGTTCACTGCATTCTCCTGCTTCAGCCCAAGTATATCTGCGGACTACAGGCACCTGCGCACCCAAGCCCGGCTAATTTTTGTTATTTTTAGTGTAGAGGATTGGAGTTCACATGTAGGTCAGAGGATGGTCTCGGAGTCTTTCCCTGACTCAATGAAATCCACCGTCCTCAACCTCCAATAGCAGTGCTGGAGATTATCCAGGGCATGCGCACCGCTCTCAGGCACATTCTTTCTTAATAGAGAAAATCTATTAACGTAACAAAGTTAATAAAGATTATAGGTATAAAATATAGCCAATATAGATATAAATTGGTATAGAACCAATATTAATACAAAAGAGAAGAGGAAGACTACGGTGTATAGGAATAAGTATTCTTTTTTTTTTTTTTGAGATAGAGTCTCGGCTCTGTTGCCCAGGGGCTGGGAGTGCAGTGTATGATCTTGGGGCTCATGGCCAACCTCTGCTCTGCATCCATTCTCCTGCCTCGCTCCCGAGTAGCTGGGGACTACTAGGCACCTGCCCACCATGCCCGGCTAATTTTTTATTTTAGGTAGAGATGGGGTTCCAACCATTGTAGCCAGGATGTTCAATTCGTGGAGCCTCATGATCCACCTGCTCAGCCTCCCAACATGCTAGGACTTAGCAGGTGTGAGCCACTGCGGCCCGGGCCAGGAATAGTATTTTATCCTTCACCAGAATTAACTTTGGAATAAATCTGAAAACAATGATGCTCAGTTAGATGATACGTAGACGTAAGCCCCAACAGTGAGCACTAAGAAATACAAATATAAGGGGCTGGCGCAGTGGGGCTCGACACTGTAATCCTAGCACCCCTTGGTGAGGGCTGAGGCGTTGAGGACACTGAGTCGGACGTTTGAGACTAGCCTGGCCATCATGGTGGAAACGTTCCTCTACCAAAAAATATAAAATTCACGCAACCATGTGGGTGGTGAGCACGACTGTAATTCCCGGCACTCTTTGGGGTGGGGGAGCCAAAAAAAAAAAAAAGAAGCTGTGAAAAGAGAAGAGAGCAAGTATATATTTATAGAGTCGTTATATTAACCTTCCTATTTACCATTTCTTGTTCTCTTTATTAGTTCCTGTGGATTCCAGAGTTACCATCTTGCTATAGCTTTGCTCCTACCTACCTCATTTGTGTTGTTATTGCTAAATATGTTACATTCCTCTAACAATTCAAAACATATATACTGGTTTTTATAATTGCTTTTTAAATCAAGTAAGAGAGGAAAGAAGAAGTAGTATACTATTTTTTTTGTAATTACATAATTACCTTTACCAGTGCTCTTTGTTTTTTTCACATAAATTCAAATTACTGGAGCCACTGGCTTTCAGCCTGAAGAACTTCCTTTATTAGGTCTTGTAAGGTGGGTCTGCTAGCCAAAAAAGAAAAAAAGAAAAAAATTTATCTTTTTGTTTATCAGTGAATGTCTTTATTTTGCCCTTATATTTGAAAGATAGTTTTCCTGGCTCTCAGATTCTTGGTTGACAGGTCTTTTTTTTCCCTTTCCTTCAGCTCTTGAAACACATCATCCCATTGCTTTCTGGCCCCCATTGATTCTGATGAGAAGTTAGCTGTTAATCTTATTGGGTTTCCCAATAAGTTACTACTTTCAAGATTTTCTCCTTGTCTTAGGCTTTCACCATTTTTATAGTGATGTGGCTAGGTGTAGATTTTTTTGAGTTTGTACTACTTGGTTTGGTTTTGTTTTTTTTGAGGCTGAGTCTTGCTTTATCAACCAGGCTGGAGGGCAGTGGTGTGATCTTGGCTCACTGCAACCTCCGCCTCCCAGATTCGAGTAATTCTTATGCCTCAGCCACATGAGTACCTGGGATTACAGGCGTGCACCACCATGCATGGCTAATTTTTGTAATATTAGTAGAGATGGGGCTTCACCATGTTGACCAGGCTGGTCTCGAATCCCTGGTCACAAGCAATACACCCCCCTCAGCCTGCCAAAGTGCTGGGATTATAGGTGTGAGCCACCGCACCTGACTGAGTTTGTCCTATCTGGAATTTGTTGAGCTTCCTGGATGTTTAGATGAATGTTTCTCATCAAATCTGGGAATTTTTCAGCCACCACTTCTTTGAATAAGTATTTTTTTTCCTGTTCCTTTATCCTCCCCTTCTGGTACTCGCATTAAATATATGTTGATGCACTTAATGGAGTCTCACATTTCTCTGAGGCCCTGTTTCCTTTTCTGCATTTTGTTCTTCCTCTATGTTCTTTGAATTGCATTATCTCTATTGATATATCTTCAAGTTTGACTTGTGCTGTCAGTTAAAATGTACTGTTGAGGTCCTCCAGAAAAATTTTCATTTCAATTGTACCTTCAATTATTGACTTTCCATTTGGCTCCTTAAAAATATTTTATATGGCTTTACTGATATTCTCTATTTGATGAGACATTGACCCTATAGCTTCATTTACTTTTTTTTTTTTTTTGAGGAGTCTCGCTCATTGCCCAGGCTAGAGTGCAGTGGCATGATCTCAGCTCACTGCAACCTCCGCCTCCCAGGTTCAAGCAATTCTCCTGCCTCAGCCTCCTGAGTAGCTGGGACTACAGGTGAATACCATGACGCCCAACTAATTTTTTGTATTTTTAGTAGAGATGAGGTTTCACTGTGTTAGCTAGGATGGTCTTGATCTCCTGAACTCGTGATCTATCTGCCTCAGCCTCCCAAGGTGCTGGGATTACAGGTATCAGCCACCATGCAGGCTCCTTTTTTTTTTTTTTTGAGATGGAGTTTTGCTCTGTTGCCCAGGCTGGAGTACAATGGCACAATCTTGGCTCACTGCAACCTCTGCCTCCTGGGTTCAAGCGATTCTCCTGCCTCAGCCTCCTGAGTAGCTGAGGCACCCACCACCATGCCTGGCTATTTTTTGTATTTTTAATAGAGATGGGGTTTCGCCATGTTGGCCAGGCTGGTCTCGAACTCCTGACCTCAGGAGATCTGCCTGCTTTGGCCTCCCAAAGCGCTGGGATTACAGGTGTGAGCCACTGTGCCCAGCCTCTTTTTTTAAAGCATAGTTTTCTTTTGTTCTTTGAATTGTTTGTTAAATCTGACATCTGGGCCCTCACACAGGTATTTCTGTTGCCTGTTTTTGTGTTTGTTTTCCTTGTATAAGAGTTACACTTTTCTGTTTCTTTTAATGTACCATAATTTTGTTGTTGTTATTGAAAACTGGACATTTAGTCCATAGCAACTCTGGATACTGACTCCCTTTACCCTTCTCCAGAGCTTGTTTTTATTACGGTTATTGTCATTAATTAATTAATTTATTTATTTATTTTAGGGACATAGCTGTTTTAGTGAAGTCTATTTTCCCTGCAATGTGAAGCTTTTTGTGTCACTCCTTGGAGGACTGTCGTGGGATGCAGTGATTTCAGCAAAGCTCTCATCCTATCTCTTTCTTAATTTCTCTTTAAAGCTGGATGCTTTATTGGTTATCACATCCAGCTATTAGGCTGCACTAAATGCCTGCTGTTTTTCACTAATTGTTGTTTTCAACAATTCTCGGGGACATAAATTGTTCCATAAACAGGTTTAATTAAATTCAGGCAGGAGTAGATTTTGAAGCCATTCTTTTGGGTTTGTTTTGACCTCAGGTGAGCTCTTTGTTGTGGTAGCTAATGAAGAATTTTGTGGAAATATAAGAGTTTTGAGAAGCAGTTGGCATTTGAACTACATCTTTAAAAGTGAATTGGATTTCAACAGGCAGAGATGTAAGGGTAAAGGTAAACTGCAAATGAGGTAAGAGAATTATCCGAGATTCAAATCATGGGCATTCAAGATAAAAAAGAGAATTATCAAAGACACAGAGCCAAGGAATCATGGTATTCTCATTCTGACTGTATATGAATATGAGTATAGTGGAAGATACAAGTGAAAAAATATTTGCTTAGTATTTTAATCTTTGGACTTTAGATCCATACTATGAAGGGTCTTGAATGCTTTCTCAAAAATTTGTGCCTAATTCGGTAGGTAATAGCTAGTGTATTCATTAGAGCTAGGTCCAGTTGCATTAAAAGGAGAGCCATATAAGGCCAGGCACGGTGGCTCACACCTGTAATCCCAGCACTTTGGGAGGCCGAGGCGGGCAGATCTCCTGAGGTCAGGAGTTCGAGACCAGTCTAGTCAACATGGAGAGACCCAGTCTCTACTAAAAATACAAAAATTAGCCAGGTGTCCTGATGTGCACCTGTAATCCCAGCTACTCAGGAGGCTGAGGCTGGAGAATCACTTGAACCCAGGAGGCGGAGGTTGCAGTGACTTGAGATCGCAACACTGCACTCCAGCCTAGGCAACAGAGCCAGACTCCATCTCAAAACAAAAACAAAAACAAAAACGAAACAAACAAAAAAAAAGCACTGCTCTAAAAAATAAAGTGTATAGGCCTGGCGTGCATGGTGGCTCATACCTGTAATCCCAGCACTTTGGGAGGCCGAGGCGGGCGGATTACCTGAGGTCAGGAGTTTGAGACAAGACTGGCCAACATGGTGAAACCTCGTCTCTGCTAAAAATACAAAAATTAGCCACATGTGATGGTGCAAGCCTGTACTCCCAGCTGCTTGGTAAGCTGAGGCAGGAGAATCACTTGAACCTGGGAGGCAGAGGTTGCAGTGAGCCGAGACTGTATCACTGTACTCCAGTCTGGGCTACAGAGTAAGACTCTGTCTCAAAACATGAAAAAGAAAAAGAAGAGTCATATAAATGGCTAAACAAAATTAGAATTTATTTCTGTGTCATATAAAGCAGTCTGGAGATAGACAACTCAGCACTCCCATCAAGACTCCACAGTCACTCACTCATTCTCTCTTTCTGTTCTACTCTTCTTAGTCATTAATTTCATCCTCGTAGTTTCCTTGTGGTCTGAAATGGTGGCTGGGGATCCAAATATTATATTTATTTCCTAGACAAATAAAGAAAAAGGGTTAGAGACACAAAAATATGCAATTCCCAGATGAGTTATCACCCCTTTACAGTTTTCCTGAAAACCCATCCAATACATTCTATTTACATTTCAGTGGATACCTCACACTATAGGGAAAGCTAGACATTCTGGCTTTTTTTTTTTCTGAGATAGAGTCTCACTCTGTCGCCAGGCTGGAGTGCGGTGGTGTGATTTTGGCTCACTGCAACCTCTGCCTCCTGGGTTCAAGCGATTCTCCTGCCTCAGCCTCCTCAGTAGCTGTGGTTACAGGCGCATACCACCACGCCCGGCTAATTTTTTTTGTATTTTTAGTAGACACGGGGTTTCACCATGTTGGCCAGGATGGTCTTGATCTCTTGACCTCGTCATTTGCCTGCCTTGGCCTTCCAAAGTGCTGGGATTACAGGCGTGAGCTACTGCGCCCTGCCCCCTTTTTTTTTTAAGACGGAGTCTTGCTGTGTTGCCCAGGCTGCAATGCAGTGGCACGATCTCAGTTCACTACAACCTCTACCTCCTAGGTTCAAGCAATTCTCCTGCCTCAGCCTCCTGAGTAGCTGGGATTACAGGCATCTGCCACCATGCCCAGCTCATTTCTTGTATTTTTAGTAGAAATGGGGTTTCATCATGTTGGCCAGGCTGGTCTTGAACTCCTGACCTCAGATGATCCGCCCACTTCGGCCTCCCAAGGTTCTGGGATTACAGGCGTGAGCCACCATGCCTGGCCCACTCTGGCCTTCTAACCAGGCACACTCGCTACTGTCCAGAATAAAATCAAAATTCTGTTACTAAAGAAAAAGAGAAAATGGATATTGAGTAAGCGGCTAGCAGTCTCTGATATAGGGAGCTGTAGAAGCTTTTTGAGTAGGGTAATCACACAATTCTAGCATTGTTCTGGGAAGACTGGTTGGGTTGCTGAGGAAATAATAAAGTTGTGGATACTTGTTAGGGTGCAATTCTGACTGAAATTACAGGTGAGAAGCAAAAATAACCTTAACTAGGACAGTGGCATGTAAGATAGAAAGGATATCCTAAAATGAAAAAGTCTGGGAAAGGGAGGATCACAGATAAAAATTTGTTTTTGAAAAGTTGTTGCAAGACTTTGGTAGGAAAAGCTATTAAAATCACTTTTCCCTAGGTAAGAAAAAATGTTGGAAATAGAAAACAAAAGGTAAGTTTCCCTGGGCCTGCATGTCATCCAACATTTTAACATATAATGTGAACATGGAAATACACAGGAAAAACACTGGGTTTACACATCACTTTGTAGAGTAATACCAATCTGACAGGAATTAAAAAAAAAAAAAGAGCTGGTTGCAGTAGTGTACACCTGTAATCTCAGCTACTCAGGAGGCTGAGGCAGGAGGATTGCTTGAGCCCAGGAGTTTGGGTCCAGGCTGGGCAACATAGTGAGACCTAGTCTTACTATGGTTTTTTTTTTTTTTTTTGGTCGTTTTTGAGACAGGGTCTCGCTCTGTCGCCCAGGCTGGAATACAGTGGTGCGATCTCAGCTTACTGTAACTTCTGCCTCCCAGGTTCAAGCAATTCTCCTGCCTCAGCCTCCCAAGTAGCTGGGATTACAGACATGTACCACCACACCCAGCTAATTTTTGTATTTTTAGTAAAGATAGGTTTTGCCACGTTGGCCAGGCTGGTTTTGAACTCCCAACTTCAAGTGATCCACCCACCTTGGCTTCCCAAAGTGCTGAAATTACAGGCATAAGACAGTGAGCCTGGCCCCATGATGTTGATAATTACTTTTTTTTTTTTTTTCAAGAGAGCAACTTCCTTAAGAAAAAAAAGGGAAAAAGCTCAAGAGACTGGCTGAGCGAGTAAAACTGAGCTTCGACATAGAGAAGTGTGAGTTAGACTGAAGGGAAAATTGTACTCGTAATGTAGTTGGGCTCTGAGATATAATTTATAATCCCAGAAACATGTCTTAGAGTCATTGTCAACAGCTCAATATTTTCCTGTGGCCTCAAAGGACCCCAAGGTTAACCAATATTGGAAAGGCACAACGAAACAGACAGAAAAATTTGACCCTACCATTATACTATGCCATGGTGCATCAAATCATCTAAACCTTAAGGAAAACATAATTGCCTAAAGATATGAAGATGGTCAAGCAAGGTATTTATTAGTTGTGGAGGCCAAAAGAGAAGCTGTAGTATGATAGTCCAGAAAGCCTGGGAATTTTCAATATTCAAACGGTGAAGGTTTAAAAGGAATGTAATTAAAGTACGTAAAATATGATAACAGAAGTTTACTAAGACAGAAAATTGACTCAGGCATACTTTTGTGAACTCAGAAAGAGAAATTACACCTGGGCTAAACAAAATAAGTTCTATTTTTGGCTTACCAGGTGAATAAATGTAATTAGCTTCTAATTAAGTATATAGTCCCAAGACAGGCTCACCACATAATACGATCACCAAGATAATCTAGCCGACACCAATAAAGCCTTAAAAAATACTATCAATTACCATTAATGAAACTGTAATGATAAGACGTAGGTGAACATTGGGGCTGTAATGATGTCGTCCATGTAAGCTTCATCAATTGGCCTAAATGCACCCTCAGGTGGGGGATGTTGACAATGGGGGGAGGCTATATGGTTACAATTATGAGTGGTAAGGTTTAGTTAAATATACATTTTCTTGCTTAATTTTCCCATAAACCTAAAACTGGCTTCTTAAGCCCCGTGCTGGCGGTGGCTCAAGCTGCTAATCCAGCACTTTGAGGAGGCTGAGCAAGGCCAGCATCACTTGAGCTTTCTAGAGTTTCGAGATCAGCCTGGCCAACATGATGAAACCCTGTCACTGCCCTAAAGAATTACAAAAAATTAGCCGGGTGTGGTGAACACACACGCTGTAATCCCAGGCCTACGTTGAGAGGCTGAGACAGCGAGACTTCACTTTGAACCCGGGAGGCAGCAAGGTTGCAGTGACCCAAAGATCGTGCCACTGCACTCCGAGTCTTTGGGCCCAACAGCAGCGCCAGACATCCATCTTCCAAAAAAAAAAAAAAAGAACCTGGGGGCCAGATGGCAGTTGACTCCCACCTGCCTGTAATCCCAATGCTTTTGGGAGGCTTAGGTTTGGGGTGTTCACTTTGGAGATCGGGAGGAGCGTTCCCGGAGATAGACACCATCCTGCGCCTAGTGAACATAGCTGAGAAACCCGCCCTCATTTACTAAGATAATACAAAAAAAAATATTGTAGCCAGGCGTGTGGCGGGGTGCCTGCTAGTCCCAGCTACTCGGAGGCGGAGGCTAGCGGAGAAATGGCTTGAACCGAAGGGCAAAGGAGGTACATGCAGGGCCCGAGGATCGCGACCATTGCCTCCGCCGGGTGACAGAGCAAGACTCCATGTCTCAAAAAAAAAACCGAAAACCAAAACGAAACAACCTGCCTTTCAAAGAATAAAGTTACCTGTAGGCCCTGCATGTGTGTGGTGGGGCTTCATGCCTGTAACCCCAGCCACTTTGGGCAGTCCAAGGCCGGGCAGGACTTACCTGGAGGGTCAGGGGATTTTGAGAGCCGCCTGGCCAACATGGTGAAACTCTGTCTCTACTAAAAATACAAAAATTAGCCAGGATTTTAGATGCCTGTAATCCCAGCTACTTGGGAGGCTGAGGCAGGAGAATCACTTGAACCTGGGAGGCAGAGGTGTTGCAGTAAGCCAAGATCGTGCCATTGCACTCCAGCCTGGGCAACAGAGCGAGACTCCATCTTAAAAAAAAAAAAAGAGTGTATTAAGAAAAATTCACAAATGCAAAATCTTCAGTGAAAAAATTCAATATCTGAATGTGTCTGTATGCATAAAGAATTGTGTGAAAGAATGGACACCAAAATGTTAAAGTATTAAAGGTGATTATTTCATTTTGAGTCATTATTTTCTTCCTTAATAATTATATATGTTTTCTGAATTTTTCAGCAAGCTTGTGGTTTCGTTTATTTGTTTGTCTGTCTTCTGAGACAGAATCTCGCTCTTTTGCCCAGGTTTCAGTGCAGTGGCATAATGTTGACTCACTGAAACCTCTGCCTCACGGGTTCAAGTGATTCTCATGCCTCAAGCCTCCTGAGTAGCTGGGATTACAGGCGTGAGCCACCACACCTGGCTAATTTTTGTATTTTTAGTAGAGATGGGATTTTGCCATGTTGGCCAGGCTGGTATCAAACTCCTGGTCTCAAGTGAACCACCCAACCTAGCCTCCCAAAGCACTGGGATTACAGACGTGAGCCACCGTGTCTGGCCAAGTTTGTGTTATTTATCTAATAAGGAATACATCTGTCTTCCTCTTGGAAATAAAAACAATACATATTAGGCTAATAAAGCAAATTAGCCCCTTCCTGTTGGAGAAATAATCTTAGCCCCTTCCTGTTGGAGAAAGAATCATGGGGAATAAATTCTGGTAGTGTCAGAAAAGATGAACTAGGTCACTGGCAAGCACAGCTGTGTGGCAGCTATTCCATTCCTATGTGGGACAGTCAGGTGGTAGAATCCATTCACCAGTGGTGCTTGAGAAACTCTTGATGCTGTTTCCTTATGTGCATACATCTTTGAACTATCATTACATCTCTGGTGGTGCCTAGAATGTACTTTGCTATTTAGAGCTAGAAAAAATTCATGTAGGCAAGATGGATTTTCTTAACCAGCATAGATTGCTCTCTCCCTTGTATATAAAGACTTCTGCTTGCAGAAAAACAAGTGATGATATAGCTTGAAAGATGACTGGATCAGGTGGGCGCCATGGCTCACGTAATCCCAGCACTTTGGGAGGCCGAGGCAGGTTGATCACCTGAGGTCAGGAGTTCGAGACCAGTCTGGCCAACATAGTGAAACCCTGTCTCCACTAAAAATCCAAAAAATTAGCCAAGCGTGGTGGTACATGCCTGTAATCCCAGCTACTCAGGAGGCTGAGGCAGGAGAATCACTTGAACCCGGGAGGCGGAGGTTGCAGTGAGCCAAGATCACGCCAC